CTATCGTTGCAACCCAGGTCTCGGTGGGCTGATTATTATCTATCTATTAGTATTAATTGGTACTATCGACTGGTTGAGTTAATCTAGTGGGATGAGTGCATCTTGCTACCACCCTCGGCACCGGCACTTTCCGGAATGGCGAACGTTCTGTTCCTTCATTCATCGATACTCAGTTGACTTGAACCACTGTTATACTCCGAACTGCTTCTCACGCTTCTTTCCCACTGCAACCGTTTTCTCTCATTTTCGGAGTCTCGAAAGATCTTCTGCTCCTCTAGGTGGGTGCTAAAGCCCACTCTAGTATCTGACCGATGCTTAATTCACGGGCGATAGCGTCCAAATGTGACTCACACATTCTCTCGCGCCACACATACCTCGACACTCAGGCTACCTTTTAAAAAATACCTCATGTATCATGCTTACATAAGCTACAGTTAACTATGAATGAGAATGTCATCACTGATGCCTCATCAGTGCGAAGAATGCTAGAAGTTGTGAATATTATGTTAATAATGGTGAGTGCCAGCACCACACACTGTGTGGTGCTGGCATTCACGATTACTAACATCTTCACCACTTGCAATAAGACACCTCGTCCACAGCAACCCCTCCGGGGTTTTGCTTGTGAGTATCGTCTGGAATACATACAGGAGTATCACACGACTGATCGTCGTCATGACAAACGGGGACCGACAAGCACGACTTGCAGTATAAGTTCCCACTGTTCAAGCCGATGTAGTCGTTATCACAATAAGGCATGCCTCTCTCGTCATCGCCGTTTACACTGTCGGCACCAACAGATGGCGATTGAGTAGTCGTTACAGCTGGGCTGATTACATCAGTTGTAACGTCGACTGACTCAGTCGGACTGAGTCAGTCCGACTGAAGATCTCGGCGTGCCCGACAATGGAGCATATAGGACAACGGATGCTATCCTTGTCCCGATTCCCTCATCCGTGACAACACAGGATGGTAGTCTGAAGGTGACACTCGTGGACAACGACGCAGCGGACGATCCCAAAGAGTAGAGTTTGAGACCTAACATCACCGTCGACATTAAACGTCAAGACAGAGTCTGTCGAAAATAATCGTCACCAATCAGTAGTTCAAACGGGAATGCTATCGACAACGACAGGCTGCCATCGACAGCATCCACATCGGCTGACCGAGCTATTCGAGACTTTATAGGGATATTGAGATTGACCCGACCTCTGGCCGGCAGTTCATTGAGAGACAATGTGATTTGACCAGACGGCTCGGACCTTGGAGACAGGCCTAGTTTTTGGACAATAGTATTAGTAACCAAAGAATAGCCACAACAGAAATCGACGAGCTTTGGTCTCCAACGAGCTATTTATTGACGGTGACTTTTATGGACGAGAAAATTGTAGGCGGTGCCTACAATTTTTAGGCTGCCTAATAGGCAGCATTGTCGTGTCGTGTCGACAACTGTTTGCGCGGGGCCGGCGCCACGTACTGCTGCGGAGACACCGCCACTCCGTTTCCCGGTGGAGTTGTCTTTCGTTCAGGACCGCTCTGACGCCGCGGAGAGAGGAGTCGGACATGACCTTTTTAACCACAATCATAGCATACGATGGTGGTGTAGTCAAAGTGACTAAGTCACGAGAGCCTCCTCTTCGCACTGCACGGCCTTTGCCTTTTCCCTTACTGTGGAGCTGGTCATCATTGCGCCCGCGTGTAGTCTCCCTTAATGACGGACTAGTAGTGGTTTCTCTCAATGTGCGGCCTGCGGCTGTGAACTCCATTCCAGGCCTACCTTCCACACCACCGTGGAGGAAGTGGGCAAGTCAGCGTTTAGCTTCGCTACTTTCGATCATCCCGCTGTACAGGATCATAGACCTAACCACAGTTTGCAGCCCTGCCTACCGCTCCACGCCGCTCATGATTCACGGGGCGCAAGAGTCAGTTTGGCGCTTGGATCTGGCCTTCTGCACTGAACACTGCTGACTCAAACTCTGGTTGTAAGGAGTGTGCGGCTTCTCAAACTGAGAGGGAACCGCCAAGACACTATCCCCCCCCACCTCCTCCCTACGTCAAGAGGGCCTTTTCAGAGGCTCCTGAGATGCTTGTTCCCCTAGCACGTGACCAGCGTGACGCGTGCATATACCAAACCGCTAAAGAATCTTTGTCTTCGATCTTCGTCCTGACCTCTTTCAATACACTCTCAACAGTCTAAGCACTCTATCCAGTAACTGCACGGTATTGACTTAGCGGAGACACGTCGTAGTGACCATAACTTATCCGCATTACGAGGACGCAAGTAATTAGGCGTGACTATGGAGAATTGAGTCATTCCACGCTGCAAACTGTTTGACAGCTTCTCGTGTAGTCGTTCTATCATCCCTATCCTCCATGTGGGCTTCTACAAAACTCCTGTGTCTGTACGCTCTCAGTGTAGCTGATGATGTAAATCCCTATACGGGCCGCCCGTTGCAGTTCTACAAGAAAATCGAATTTCCTTGGAATATCAAAGAAGAGCCCGACAGCTGGAGCAGATCGATTCCACGTGCCAATTATACTTGGGATCACTATTTCGACTACCTCATTAGCTCTGGTGCGACTAACTTACAGTTGGGTGGATACTCACTCAACGTAAAGAGCGAAATCGAGTTGGACCCTCCCTTCTACGATCCTTGGAACAAAACTAGTTTTAAAGCTCTGAGAGAACGAGTGGATGCGGCCGGCAGAGTGATAATGGCCGAGTTGGGTATATATCTCAACAAAACTTTCGACAAGGCTTCCTTCATGGAGAGTGCCAGAGAGTTCGTGAAGGAATATCCTGTTAACGGTTTCAATTTGGGCATTCTACCATACGATCTCAGTGAATACCAACTTCTGAAGGAGCTTGTCGCGGCTATTAAAGAGCTCAACCTACGGGCGTGCTTATGGTGAGTCAACAAATACCTCGGAGGACGGGAATCCTGTTGTGATCACTGGCTCCAGCAGCTGCTTCGTCATGTTAGGTTCACGACGTCTCATTGGCAGGAAATCAAACGAACCGGCCTAGGGAAGATAGTCGATAGTGCCAGTGTTAGCCTGTGGCCAAGTTTACAGAAAGAGTCCGCAGAAACCTTCAATACGGACCGTTTCGCCGAAGATATGATCAAAGATGTCGTCAAAGCTGGTGTAGATCTCAATAAACTGATCCTTTCTGTAAGTGTAGTA